GCCGCCAGCACGCGCCGCGCAGCCGCGGAGCGCCCGCACCCGCCGCCTCCCTGCCTCGCTCTGCGCATCCTCGCTCCAGCCCCGCAGCCTGCCCCAGTCCTCTCAGCATCACCCCCTCCTCGTCTGACGCTCCTTCCTAGCTTCCCTCCTCGCGTCCTTCCTCCCATTCTCCCCACCGCCCAGTCCCCCTACAGATTTGACCTCCTGGTCCTTAGGTTCTCAGTGTGGCCCGCCGACCTACAGCATCAGCACCACCTGGGAGCTTGCTAGTATCTCTTGAGGTCTCACTCCAGACACACAAAGCGCGATTTGCTCTTCTACTCAAACCCCTAGAAATCCAGTTTTCACACCTAATTAGAACGACTGTTTCCAACACCTGCACTTTTCGTTCAAAGAAAACACTAGACTCATAAATTTCTGGAGACCATCCCGGAAGGAAGATGGAATCCCAAAATACCACAATACAGATAGCCAAAAAGAGGTCAGAGACAGCGAGGAAAGTGTAACTAAGCCTTGGCAAAAGCCACAAGCATTGGAGCATAATCTGAGCTTTTCAAACTAGGCAACTGGTTTACCCTTTTTCCCCAGGAGCAAAGTGCTCAGACCTCAAGCAACTCAGCCGCGTCTGGTAAGTACGCTGAATTCTCCTCGTCTTCACATCCGTTTGCACCACTTACACTTGGGGTTATTTACCTGGCCAATTCATTTACTCACTTAATCTACATAGATGCCAGGTTTGTCTTCCGGTGACCCTTGTTGGGGTGATGACAACTAACAAGTTGTTTTCTGTGAGAAATATGGACACTCTCCCTTCCATGCCGCTACTTCAGAACCTGCATGGGAACCTGATTCTTCGGGTTCTTTAATATATATATATGAAGGAAATTGCTACTGAGGCAGAAAAACAGATTTCAAATATAGACCTAGAAGTCGGACTGCCTGGGTAACGACCAGTGATCAATAACTCCCCTGATGCAGTGCATATTAAATAAGACCATGCAGGGAAAGTTTGTCGGGTTCAATGTCACCAATGTCATGACATAGCACAAAATTATGAACTATTGAGAAATCGGTCATTTCAACCTTTTTTCGCCCAGTGGCTGGAAGACATGGGAGCTGCTATTGGAGGAAAGAGACCTTGGGAATTCCAAAGGCCAGCTGTTGACCACCGGATATAGCTGACAGATCAGCTTGTCCAATTGGATTTTAACTATGTGAATCCTGCCAGGGTCTTTCACTGACAATGAAGTTCAGCTCAGCTGTATGGGCTGGCCAGTGAGCTTGGGATCCTCCTGGCTTTCCAGCACTGGTATTATAGACACATGCTGCCAAGTATTGCTTTTTATGTGGGTACCAGGGATTTGAACTCAGGACCTCATGCTTTCACAGCTACCACTTTACCAACTGAGCAATTTCCTGAGCCTGGGGCTTGCTGGAACTGCCTGGCCAGGGAGCCCCTGGGATCCACCTTTCTCTGCTTCCCACCCCAACACTGGGATTAAAGACAAATGCAGCTGTGCCAGGCTTTTATGTAGGTGCCCAGGGTCCAAACTCCATGTTCATGCAGCAAATATATCACCCACTAACCCATCTCCCAGCCCCTGTTAGTCACTTTTAAATGGATAAGCGTTTCATTTCATTTTCATTTTAAAAAGACAGACAGAACCTTTATTTCTCTTCTCATCAAAATAATTTCTCAAAAGGACCTTCCCCCCTCCCCCTCTTATAAAAACATCCCCAAATTAGTGCTACCACTCAGTCTCCAACCAGGAACAGATGTGGCCTGTCTCTGACTGCCGGTGTATGTCATTTTTCACTTTGGATTTCATAAGATATAAAAGCTGTGATCTTGGAAGTCCCTCAGAAAGTTAAACATAGAGTTGCCATATGATTTGGCAATTCCAAGAGAACCCAAAACATATGTTCAGACAAAAACTTGTGCATGAATGTTCATAAAATTATCATTCATAATAGCCCCAAATCAAGAGCAACCCAAACATCTATCAACTGAATAATCAGATAAACAAAGCATGGTACCTCCATATACTCGATTATTCACTCACAAAGACAGAATGAAGTTCTGATACATGGTATAACATAGATGAACCTTAAAAACATTGTTCAAATAAAAGAAGCTGACCACAGAAGCCCACATACTGTATAATTCTAGATATATGAAGTGTCCAAAATAAGCAAATTCATAAGCAGAAACCCACAGACCAGGGCAGGGGGTGGTTAGTGGTTGCCAGGGGAGGGGCAGAGTCAGAGGAGTCAGATTATGATGTCTGCCCAGCATCATGGATATGCTGAAAGACACTGAGCTGTACACTGTAAAATCATTAAAATGGTGGATTTTATTCAAGGACTTTAAAGGTCTGTGATCTTTGAAACGGTGAAGGATGACAATGACATCAGAATCTTCCTGTGCTCTTTGGGAAATCAAACTCTTGATACATACTGGTGGGAATTTCTGAATGCTAAATGACTTCCTTTTTCACACTTGACAATCTGTGCTGTCCACAACCCATCAACTCTATGGGTTGAGGGCTGCCAGTCCTCTACAGTAATTCACAATACTTTCCCAGCTCTGGAATGATTATGTTAGCAGACTCTCCCATCCCCTCTTGAACCCACATGTGATTGTCATGTGACCTTCTAGTGCTGTTGTTTGGGTCTTAAGTAGGCAGAAAAGGTAAAAACAATTGCACAACCCCTTACAGTCATTGTGAGTTCACTCAGGGCAACTTCACAGTCTCAGGTCCCAATGCCAAGCACCTGCCATACACTTAAGTAGCAAAAGATAATGACCACTGCATTAATGCACTCCTCTGGATTTTACTGGTTAGGGTGGACCGCCAATGGTACTGGGTTTTCATATACAGTAACAACCAACACATTTGTGCTCAGACTTGCAGTGATGTCAACCCATTGAGACACCTGTGAACCTAGGGAGAAGGTGGAGACAACGCAGAAGCCGGTGTGTCTCCTGAAAACAACAGGCAAAACCTCCATGCACCCCTCCTTATAAACAAAGAAAACCACAGACGCAGGAACCTCTCCAGGAACCTTGTACTGTGTTCTGGAGGTTTCCATCAGAAAGCAAGGTGGGGAGCAGCGCACGCCTCAGGAAGCAGCTCAGAAGAGGACGAGGCTGCTGGACTGGCAGGAGGTGACAACCCCGGGTTCGACAGGAACAGGGTTTGTGTCACGTGCACGTGAGAGAGAACAGCCAAAGCCTATTTTACTAGGACATCTGGGAGCCGTGTGGGTGAAAAGTAGCCACCCCAAACTACACTTGTCCCAGACAGCTCCTCTGATAGAGCAGACAAGAAAGCCATCAATGAGAAGAGGGTCGTGGCCTATAGAAGGCCACACCAAGCCCTACACGTGTTGATAGCTCCTGGTGACATCTTTTGTACCATATCAAGGTACGGGAGGGGCTGATGTGTGTACTGACAACCAGGACTCATGAGGAAAGGGCCAAAGACCCTCCAGGATACTCTGTGCACTAAGGCAGGGAAATGTGCCATACATCTTAGAAAGAGTTCCCTCCAAAAATATTAAAATTGTAAAGAGTCAGCACTTAAAGAGTTACTCCTTGGTTATCTGAACATCTGTTTACATACCTCGTTTGCATCAAAGCTAGTCAATGAGGCAATTTTTATAGTCATTAGTATCAAATTATTGGCACCATTCAGTTGTAGGGATAGGAAGAGAGCAAACTCTACAATACAACATAAAAATACAGTTCTGATACAAAGATACAAGGTCAGTTCCGTTGAACAAGCTGTCATAAGAAATGGATGTGGACAGTTTACACACAAGGGAACACAGCTGGTAACTCATCACACAGAAGTGTCCAGCTTTGCTAGCAGTTCAAACAAGACAGCTTTTCAATAATAACTATACACATCTATTAAACTAGCAAAAAATAAATTAGAATGGCAAAACCCAGTGTTGGCAGAGCTATTGATAAATAGAAATGCTTACACACTGCTGGTGGCATCATAAATTGTCGAGGGGATTCAAGCATTCAGAGGAGGGGAAGTTTAAATGAGATGACCTTTAAGGTCCTTCCAATCCAAAGATTGGATCTTTCTAGAAAGCGATCTGGCAATATAAAACAAGAGCTATAAAATACTTCATGCTCTCTGACCTTGTAATCCCTCTTTGGAGATATTCCAAAGGGAATAATCCAAGAGAAGGATTTTATAGATATATATATTTATTTATTTATATTTTTTACAAAGACATTCATAGCAGCACTATTTATAAGAGTGGAAATTTGCATATAACTCAAATATCTAATAATGGGGAGAAGTGAGGTTAACTATGTCATGTGATTATAAAGACTTTTTTAAATTAGTGAGGGTAGGATCTGTCTAATAAGGAGATGTGTTAGGTGGAAATATAACAAAAGGAATGTTCTCGCTGAGCACAGCTATGTAAAAACGGAGCATATCAAGGAGAATCGGAAAGAACTTCAGAGAGCTAGCTGTAGGGAGGGGCTCCTTAATTCCTGCAAAGGTATTCAAGTGAATAATAAAAATTTAAAAATGCGTTTTTTGAAACTATATAAAAAGGGAGTTAAGTTTCTTCTGGGCAGGATTCTGTCAACATGATTAGAGTAGATAGAATTTAGAAATAATTTATCTTTATGTAAAGGCCAAATGAGTCTTTCTGATACTGAATCATCTTGACCTTGTCAAGATTTTTAAATGATGTAAGTTAGAATTTCCTACATGGGGCTCTAAGATAAATTCCTTTTATCCCAGGTTATGTGGTATCCAACGAGTTCACACATTCAATTGTATTTCAGGTTAAGCTGAAGTATTTTCAGTTGTAGTAATATGTTTTCCATTCATCTGTTCATGTCTGAATAAAAATAAATGATTTTATAAGATCTGTGTATTTACCAGTGTAAATGGAAAAACCAGCAGTAAAGAATTATTCTGTCATTAAAAATGATCCATTTTAACAAACAGCCAAAGCTTGGTGCAAGTTTCGATCATAAAAAAGTCACATAGTTTAGAGTATGACGGAGGATTCTGTGCCGCGTTAGCCCCTGGGGTTACTAACAGATACACACAGGAACCGCTGAACAGAAATCCCCTTTCTTCTAGAAACTTCCTACCAAACCCTGTCTCCACTGCATTGAGCAGTAGAAAAACCTCTCATGCTCAGGAGACATAAAAATAACTTTCCCAGCGAAGTCAAGCTGGAAGCTGGCTTCCGCTAACCCTGGAGACCTGGGCGGACAGAGCACACTTCTGGACGTCGTGCCGCAGTGAGCACACCGAGCCCGAGGAAAGGAAGCGGACGAAGGCACCATGCCATCTCCAGGCAGCAAGGGCAGAGTCTCACAGTTCGGTCATCAGCAATCTTTTCATCATCTTCTCTCTTTCCAGTTCTTGCCGGAGCGTCTCTGCACTGAGAAACAGCAAGGGGCCAAGGGGTAAGACAAAGACTCAACGTCTGCCGCTGTGGGCAGAACCTAAATGTCCTTGCGTGTGAGGACATTTGGACTTGCCTTCTTGGCTCTGCTGGGACGCCCTTGCATTGGCCAGCACTACAGTGAGCTGAAATTGTCTGGCTACTGAGGGGTTTCCTCACCCCCGGGGCTGGGGGCATACTTTGGGGACTTGTTTTATGTCATTCATCTTTACCATCTCACAGCCGAGTGTGGGGATCTGCTCAATGAATGAATGAGAAGGTATCCTGGGGCTAGATTTTTTTCCTTTAAAATTTTTTAACTTAGTTGGGCATGGTAGTGCACACCTTTAATCCTAGCACATGAGAAGCAGAGAAGGATGGGTCTCTGAGTTGGATGTCAGTTTGCCCTATGTAGTGAGTTCCAGGGCAGCCAGGGCTATGTGTATAAATAAATAAATAAATAAATAAATAAATAAATAAATAAATAAATAAATGAATGAATGAATGAATGAATGAATGAAAAAACACACACATACATACATAAACTATTGTTGTTGTTGTTGTATGTATGTGCAATTGTGAGCATACCCATGCACACGGATGCCTGTCTGCCATTGTGCACCTATGAAGGTCAAAGGTCTCCTTTCTCTGAAGCATTGGACTCCAGTCCTCAGGTTTTCTGGGCAAGTGTTTCTGTCCCTGAGTCATCTGGTGCCTGGGTGGTAATGGTGGGAGTGTTGGCTTTCTTTCAACTATGCTTTAAGTACATTTTATATGATTTTTCTCCTAGAATATAAGTTGGCTAATGTCCAAAGTGATGTCTTAACCAAGAGTGTCTTTTGTTTAATGAGTAAAATAAAGGGAAGAGGAAAGATCGAAGGAGAAAGGGAAAGAAAGGGGAAGGGAGGTCGGGAACACTAAAAACTGGCTGCTTGGAAGGACTGCTTGTGACAGCTTGGTCCTCAGTCCAGAACGTCCCCCATAGGCTCACATGTTTGAACATTTGGTACCCAGTTGGTGGTGCTGTTCGGGAGGTTATGGAAATGCTGCCTTCCTGGAGGAGGTGTGTCACCATTACCAGGACAAGCTTTGAGAGACACAGTCTCACCCTACTGCCAAGTCACCCTCTCTGCTTTGTGCTCACGTTAAAGGCAAAGATGTGAGCTCTCAGCTTCCTGCTTCCGCGGCCATGCTGGTTGTCTGCTGCCGTTTCTGCCCTGCCGTGATGGACTCCTATCCCTCTGGAATCGCAAGCCAAAATAAACCCTTTCTTCCGTAAGTTGCCTTTAGTCACGATGTTTTATCACAGCCACAGAAAAGTAACTAAGACACCTATGGACCTTGTTTCTACTGCTTAAAGAAATACACAGCTGTATAAGGGTGGTGTGTGTGTGTGTGTGTGTGTGTGTGTGTGTGTGTGTGTGTGTGTGTGTGTGTGTTGCTTGGTTGGAACCCAGGGTCTCATGCCTCTTAGACAAACGTTCTGGCACTGAACGACTTCCTAGCCCTGGTGTGTAGTCTATTCATCTTCCTCTTCAAAATGATGGATATCTCTCCCTCTCCCCATCTCTCTTGCTCTCCCTTTTAAGACAGGCCTGCCAGCCCCGCAGTGGAGGTGCATGCCTTTAATTCCAGCACTCAAGAGGCAGAAGCAGGTAGATCTCTATGAGATCAAGACCAGCCTTGTCTACAGAGCTAGTTCCAGGACAGCCAGGGCTGCACAAAGAAACCTTGAACAAAGAAACAACAACAACAACAACAAAAAGACAAGGTTGCCTAGGCTAGTCTCAAACTTGTAGCCTCAGACAATTCTCCCAGCTCTGACTCCCAAGTAGCCTGGAACTACAGGTGTATCCCACTACAAGACTTACAGGGTATATACTTTTTAAAGATTCTTATTTTTATTTTGTGTGTGCATGTGTACACCATGTGTACAGGTGTCCAAGGAGGCCACAAGAGGACACCAGATCCCCTGGAGCTGGAGTTAAAGGTGGTTGTGAGTCACCCAAGGTGAGTGCTGAGAACAGAACTTGGGCTCTCTGGGAGAACAGCAGGCACTCTTAACTGCTAAGCCAGCCAGCCACTAAAAGTGTATTCTTAGAGGCAAAGAGTAACTTTAATAATTTCACTCTGCCACGGCCAACAAGGCCCCACATAACCTGGCCCCAATGTACAGCTGTTGTGACTTGCTGCTGTCATCCACCCTGCCTTACTGAGGAAAACCCGAAATCAACCTTCTAGCTTCGCTAGCTCTTAGCTGTTTAGAGATTTCCTTTCGGAGGTCCCACCGCTGAGCCTCATTTACCTGCCTCGCTACCTTGGCTGTGGATAACATGTCTGACAAGTGGGCTGTGGTGATGGTGGTCGTCCAGGTTACCACCTTTCAAGGACAAGAGAACCTGTCTTGGGCCGGGTGTGTGTAAAGTGTCCATCTTGTAAGCACAATGACCTGAGTTCCATCGCGAAGTAAAAATGTCAGATGTGGCACACAGCACTGGGGGGGTAGGGGCAGAAGGACCCCTGAAGCTCACCAGCCAGCCTGGTCTATTAGAGAGAGTGCCAGGTCAGTGAGAGGCCTTGTCTTAAAGAGATGAATGATGGTCCTGAGGATAACACCTAAAGTTGTCCACTGGCCTCCATGCATACGTGTGTGCGCACGCGTGTGCATGTGCACAAACACACACACACACACATACACACACACACACACACACACACACACACACACACACGTCTCTTTTGGTAGAAACACTGACTTCACTTGGGCCTGAAGATATCAGATGAGGCCTGGTGCAGGTAGAAAGGCTTGCTATCTGTCTCCTTTGCTGCCTTATCTTTGGGGCCAGCATCTGCTCTGCTCTGCACACTGATCATTTAAGAAGTGTTTTGTCCAGAACTATAATAGAGGGCTGACTTGACCTAGATTTGCCTAGTCTCCCCCTGACTTTAAGGCTAAAAATACCTGCTTGCCCCCATGGCTGGAAATACAGATCACAAAAGGAGCACAAATATTCGGAACTCCCTGCCTGTTCCCAGAAAAGACATGAGTGTCTCTCCCTTTATCTACAGGACTCCGTCCTCACTCCTGCTTTGTGCCTTTAACCCCGCAGTTCTCCAGAGCCAAGAGGCCACTTTGTGGCAATTCCTTATTCCTCCTGTCACTTTTTCCTGAGTCCCTGGTCTCCTCCAGTGACAGCAGAATCTAAGCTTTTCTCATGACCACACACTGTCCCCTTAATCTTTCTTAATCATGCCAGGTGTGCCCAAGTCCAGGAGCCCAGGACGGGCGAGTCCCTCTGCCAAGCCTATTCTTCCCCAACTATGTGCCACCTGCTCCCCACCACCTTCAGGTATCAATTCAATGAAGTCATCCCAACCTGTCCTATTGCCTGTCACTGTCCCGGTCTCACACACACACACACACACACACACACACACACACACAGTTGTTTGTCTGCTTCTCTCACCCTCATGTACGAAAGTGCAAACTCCAGAAGGGTGGGACTTTATCTGTTGGTTCACTGTCCAACCCTAGCATCCAGAACACGGTGTATTCCTTGGAGACCTTTCCTTACAGGCTGAATGAATGGAAGAATGAATGGGAGGGGCTCAGTCAGTGAAGTGCTTGTCTTGGAAGGATGAGGACCTGAGTTCAGGTCTCCAGCGCCCAAGGAAAGCCTGGCTTGGTGATGTGTGTGTATCTGCAATCCCAGAGTTGGGTAAGTAGAGACAAGCAGATCCTTCAACCTCATTGGCCACCCAGTCTCACTGAATTCAGGAACCCTAGTTTTAATGAGAGATTATGTCTCAAAAAATAACAGAAAATAATTGGTCATGATACCACCCAATGTTGACCTCTGGCCTCCATATATACATACATACATATGCATGTGCACTCTCACATAGGTGTGCACACACTCACATGAACATGTACATATACCACACATCTTCACGCACACTAGAAAAAAGAATGAATGAGAGATTACAGGTCATAGACAAGGTGAGCTAGCATCTAGGTCTGGCTCCCTGTCACCAGAATATCTGTAGATGCTTCCTCATGTGACTGACTCACCTGGCTGCCAGAGAGACAGGCTTCCGGGAGGTGTAGATGGTCTGTACTGTGGACACGGTCTCGGTCAGTGGCCTCAGGGTCGCTGTTGGAATCAACGGGGAAGACTGGCCAGGACAGTACTGCAATTGGTTCTCTCTGAAGTCTGCCTGGAGAGGAAACAGACAAGGAAGATCAATCGCCAGGCCCATCCTCATCCTGTCAAGTGCTCCCCAGGTCTCACTGTGCTGCTCTTGTTGTTTTAATAATAGCTAAAGTCACCACGCGCTTTCAAATTATCTTAAATGATCTGACTCTGTGCCAGACACCAGGCTAAGCACCTCCCATACATTACCTCTTGACAACCTACAAGGCAGAGCTCATCTATCCCCGCATCTTAGAGATCATTCTTTGGGAGATGCATCATTTTTGCGTGTGCCACAGGAAAAGCCAAACGTGGTACTCAGAGATTACTGTGTTGTATTTTGTAGCAAACATTGTGATTTCAGGGCCAGAGAGAGGGTACAGTGGTTAAGAGCACTTGCGACTCCTGCGGAGGACCTAGGCTCAACTCCCAGCACCCATATGGTGACTCACAATGGCCAGCAACTCCAATTTCCAGGGGATCTGATGTCTTCTTCTGGCCTCAGTGGTTACCGCAGGCACATGGTGCGCATGAGCTCACACAACACTCACACGAACATGAAAATAAATGAACAAACAAACATCCAATTTCATGGCATTAAAAGATGAAAAAAATAGCACATCCTAGCCACCGCTTTTATGGAAAAGGAAAGTGAACCTTAGAGAGTTTAAGTCTTCCAAATGAGGTCACCCAGTAAGTAAAATTGATTGTGTGTGTGTGTGTGTGTGTGTGTGTGTGTGTGTGTGTGTGTGTGTGTGTGTATCTTGGTAATGCTGGTTCTTGGCTCTGAATTTGGGAGAAATTTACCACCCAGCTTTCTACAGAGGCTTTGATCTTTGAGTGCATAACGACCTTCCTGGTGACGGCACAGAAGATGAACTGTCTTGAAAAGTCTGCTGCAAAGAAGCACAAAGCCCTGTTTGTGTCTCATGTCCCCTCCTAAAAGAGAGACGAACTTATTTGACACAGAGACGCACCAAGGAATGACTGCTGTTGGGTCTCTGTCAAAGCGTCACTTTGGAGAACAGCTCTACATGGCAGTATGTATGTCACATGTACGGCTGTACACATGCTTGTCTAGCGTGTGAGGCTTGCTATGGAGACCTGTGTGCGTGTGACACTCCCTTGCGCTGTTCATCAGGTCCCCCTGGCTCACCACTTTCCAGGCACACGGCAGGATGAAACCTGACTGCCTTCTTTGCGTCACGGGTGACCGTGTGCTTTGCTCAGTGAAATAAGGGCTGGTGCTGTGTGTCCTTCCACTGAAAAATTTAGGGACCAAGTATGTGGCTTGCTTCTCTTTTCCTTTCGGCCACCGTGCCTGGGGATGCCCCACACAGCAGCTGCAGGTCCATAACCTGGGCAGCGCAGAGCAGAGCCTTTGGGATGCCTCTGAGAGCTGGGCGGCACGTGCAGGAAAGTCCTTCTGTGTGTTTAAAAGCCTGGCCTACAAGCTGTGGCAGCTGGCTAATATGGCGGTTGTGTTGCTTCAGTGAGTGGGTGATGGGTGGGCTTCTGGGGCCACTTCTGAGGGACATTCACACTGTCAGTAAAAGTGCTGAGGTCCCAGGACAAACACTATCTGTATCAGCAGTCATGACACTCATTATGGGTGTGCACCCATTTTTGGTGAGGGGACAACACCAGTCGCACTTAAGAATGATCTTAAAGAAGCAGTAAATTTTCTTATTAATACCTAGCCCTTGTCTTTGTAAAATATCTCTTAAGTGATGGAATGAGCAAATGTATTACTTTCAGTGGAATGAAGCAGGCAACAGAAGAACACGGCCGGTTAGGAAGAGGAACTTGGGCCAGACGCAGACAGTGATCTCGCTGGGAGAACATGTGGGTCTAGACGGAGTGACCTTAGGCTCTGAGTGTGGAAATCTAACACCACGGCTTGAGCGAGTTCACTTGGTTGATATGGACCAACATTCTCCATCAGGGCCAAACAGGGCCTGGGCCAATTGCTAGTTCAGCTCCGTGCAGAGTCCTCCCGAGCTGTTAAAGGCCCCGTGGCTGCAATCAGGACAGACCCGGAGGCTTGCAGAGTGTCTAAGTGTCATGCCCTTGCATAGAAGAAGCGACCTTATGCAGGGGTGAGAAAATTAGAAGCCTGAGGCCATGGGTTTGGCTTCTGCTGCCAACCAGCTGCCAGTACCACCTGTCTTCACTTTCTTCTACTCCTCACCCCTGAGTTACTCCCTAACAGCCTAGTCCTTGTCTCCAGCCAAGTCTTTCTAAGGCCAGCACATCATGCCGTTTGTCCTTTCCCACAGTCCAGGCTTCTTCCAGACCCTTACTCTTATGGCTCATGTGTTGAAGGCTTGGTCCCCTGAGATAGAAAGAGGTGACTGGAGCATGTGAGAAGGGACTAATTTGTTAATAATCTCATAGCTGAGTGGGCTATGGGAAGTGGGGGCTAGCTGGAGGAAGTGGGCCACTGGGGGTGTTCCCGGGCCCTTCCTTGGCCACTTCCTGCTTCTGGCTGCCGCAGGGGCAGCTCTGCTGTGCCATACCCTTGCCCTACGCCATCTCTGCTCGGTATCAGGCTAAAGGCAATGGAGCCAGCTGGCCATCTGTCTGTGGAACCCTCTGAAGCAGTGACCCCGGTGACTCTTTCCCTTTCCAAGTTGTTTCTCTCAGGGACTTTATCACAGTGACAGGAATCGCAGCACATGGACTCCCTGTCTGTCTATGTTCTGGACTGCAGGAATCGGGCAACTATTTGTCCCTCCCCCTTACCAACCTAGTATCTTACCAGCCTCCAAAATATCTCCCCCAACTGTATACTTCTCCCCACCTCCGCCATCAAAATCACTCAGGAGCAAGCTCTCCGCACACTCTCTTAAGCTACTGCCCTAGATTTATTTCTAGACTATTGTTCTAAACCTGTTCTGTCTGGACCCAAGTGTTCTCCCACTGTGATCACAAAGCTGCTCTCTAAAAACATCTACGCTGTCACTGCCCTGTTCTAACATCTTCCAAAGGCTTCCCATCGCTGTTGGGAAAGGGCCAGGCATGGCTTTGCTCATACAGCGTTTGCGCCTCTTTCTCCTCTCACACCCCAGGCTCCTGCTCTTCTGTATTCCAGCTCCCTGTTCTTTTCAGTGCCTTGAGTGTGGGATGGCCTGTCCACCACCCCCTACCCCAAGGACTCCAGTTCATGCTGTTCCCTCTGTCTGCTCCAGATGCCTTTGAGCCACTCTTGCCCAGGGCTTAAAAGTCCCAGTGTGATTGCTGACATTGGCTTCCAGCTCCATCTGTGCCCCCAGCTTTCCAGAAGGGCTTCCCTGAGCATGTCTCATCACTGCCAAGACTGGGAAGGAGACCAGCGTGGCCCCCATCATGGCCAACTGAGGGAGGCGGAGCAGAGCTTTCAGCTGAGGATCTGTGTCCAGCAAACTGCAGGGTGGGTTGGCTGTACCAGCGTCAGGGCAACAGTACTAAGCCTCCTGGCATAGCCCAGGTAGCTCTGTCCTCTCATTAAAGCAGGCTCTTGACCCTAGAAAGAAATCTTCTAGGCACGTAGTTTCCCTCCACAGAGAGGTGGCCAACAACCATCTTACCTCTGCTCATCTTTTGAGATCTAAGGGAAACAGTGCTCCCTCCTTCCATGCCTCCGTAGGTAGTGACCATCGGCTAGATCCCTATTGTACTCAGGGCCGGACCTCAGGTCCCTTGGAGACCCTTCAGGGAAGTCAGAAACCCTTGAGGGTCTCATGGATCATGTGAGTTCAGAGATCACAGTGACCCCTGGCAGCGGGGAGGGGGAGGAAGTAGGGACAGTCTCTCACTTCTGCTCTCTGTAGCAGGCTCACTATAAAGTGGGATTCTGCAGAAAATCCTAGGCAAGAATGGGTTGGGCATCTAAAAATAAGTATGGAAATAATCACTGCTGTTGTTCTGGAGAGGAAGAAAATATGACATTCAAAATGTTTGAAAGGGGGCTGGAGAGATGGCTCAGCAGGTAGGAGCACCTGGGTTTAGTTCGCAGCACCCACACGGTGGCTCACAACCATCTGTGACTCCAGTTCCAGGGGACCCAATGCCTGCTTCTGACTTCTGTGGGCACCAGGCATGCATGTGGCCCACGTCTATACATGCAGGTACAATGCTCATACACATAAAATAGAATAAATAAATCTCAAAAAACGTTTCAACACATTGAATCTACTTTCTGAGTTCCAATGAAGATAGGAAAAGAGGTGGCCATGAGGAGCCCATGGCCAGGACTTGGACATGGTCCTGGTACCACCATCTCGGCAGCCTGGAGGGTCGGCAGTCATCACGGACATTTAGGAGCTCTCCGTACGGGGCAAGTGCGTTTGGATCCCAGTCCCTTTTGATTCAGCTGTCATCCGGGCTATTTCTTCTTATTATTCCTAGGGAGGTAGCTCAGAAGGTAAAACGCTTGCTGCAAATGAGGACCTACGCTCCACCTCCAGAACCTATGTTAAATAAAGCGTGTGTGACTGGGCACGCTTGGGATCCCAGCACCGGGGAGGCGGGGACAGGAGGACCCCTTGGGCTTGGTGGCCAGCCAGCCTAGGTAAGTCGGTGAGCTCCAGGTCTATGAGAGACCATGTCCAGAACAAGGTGGATGGCACCAAAGGAATGATATCTAAAGTGTTTTCTCTTTCTTTGTCTCTCTGTTTCTCTCTTATACGCACATTCACACACACACACACACACACACACACACACACACACACACACTTACTACACACATGCACACAAACACACGCATGAAGGCAGATGGTCTGTGTGGTAAAGTGACTTACCTAAGACCACACACCATTATCAAGACGCAGATCCAACCCAGAACAATTGAAGACAGGTGTTAAAACAAGTACACTGCACACACGACAGCACTATTTCCAGTTGCCAAAAGTGGACACCACCCAGCTCCCCATGAGTAAGTCAATGGATAAACAGACCGCAGTAAAACCATACTGCAGAATGTTATTCTACCATAAAAAGAAAGGAGGTGTAGATTCACGCTCCATAGCAGATGGATCTGAAAACATGATACTAAGTGAAATATGTCACCGGGCCATAGTGGCACATGCCTTTAATCCTAGCACTGGGGAGGCTGAGGCCAGCCTGGACCACAGACTAGGACCCTAAAAGTAGACATGAAACTAAGGGAACACAGAGGACTGACTAGTGGGGATGGGGATGGGCATGGCAAGCGGCGTGTACTCGGGGATGTACAACACACTTGCATGAACCTTTTTCAAACTAGAATGTAAATTTTAAAAAGCCTGAGTGATCTGGGGAAATGGTGCAGTGGATAAGTATTTGCCATGTAAATGTGGGGACTGGAGCTCCGAGCCCCAGCACCCACTAAAGAGCTGGACTAGCATGGTGGCCGGCCTGTAGTTCTAGCACTAAAGGGATCCCTGGGGCAAGTTGGCTAGCTAGAGCAGCCACTGGTGAGTTCTGGCTTTGGCAAGTCTGCCTCAGTAAGTAGTGTGGATAGCTATCCAAAAAAATAAAAAATAAAAAGACCCCCCACCATCAAGCTACGGCCTCCACACATGTGCACCTGCACACCAATATGTATCCACACATCACACATACCCCCACACTGAAAAAAGTAGGCCTAAGCCTTATATAATCTTTAAAACTACCCAGACATTCAGTGAATCCCGTGAGTACTGAATGCACTGGGGAACACGGTGGAAAGGAAAGATTGAAAATACTTGCTTTTTCTCTCTCAGAAAGTACCGTTGAAAGGAGAGGGAGGCGGTCGTTGTTCAATAAACACAGTAAATGCTACTGACTAGACTTAATACGGTTAATTTTTTGTGAATCTCTTCTCAATGAAGTAAAACAGACTCCAATCCCAGGGCCTCTTGCCCCCACGGCCTTCCCCATGGGGAGTGAGGCTCATAATGCAGCCTGCCATCTGGGTCTACTCACAGTGAACTGTGGCCCTGTGGTGAAGGGATCAGGAAACGGGTTCATCATCGGTTCTGCTGGGAATGTTTTTATCTTAAAAAATAAAATAAAATAAAGACAAGGGTTTACCTTCATGCCAGAAAACATTTTGAAGTCTTTACCAGTACACCTTTAGAACTGAGAGGAAGGATCCCAGGAAGTTTAGGCGCCTTCATCTCTCTGCAGTGGAGGAGGCAGGCCTGTCTGCCTGGGTCACATGGTATGTATGACATGTTTGCCTTGCCTAGAACTCCCTTTATGGGGACTTTCAGGACAGTGTCCCAAGCCTGCTCCAGAAAAGGCTATACTCAGGGTAGATGAGGAGGCAATCCCAATGGACCTGAGGTGACCTCTGAGGGCTTTGCCACAGCTGTGGGATATGGCAAGAGGCTTCTGGACGGTCTGTTGGGGAGAGTATATCTCAACTGGTGGGGCCAGTTAAACCAGAAGGCAGTCTCTGTCAGATGACTTGCATTGTTCAACTCCTGTACAATCTGAGCAGAACTCCTGAGGAGAGCACATGGAAACACAAAATACCTTGCCACTATGGCCTTTGGGAACAGAAGGTAATGAACTTGGAAGTGACCAATGATTCAATCCAGAAAGTTAGTTTCAGTGAGGCTGTGCTCCAGTCAGCAGGTGAGGGCAGCCTCTCTCTCCTTCTGCTCATTTTGCCTTTGGCTTCTTGGAGCCCTTGGAAGATGAGAGGGCTTATTTCTCTGAGCCAGTATACACCAGGAGAGCCAGAGGCCCGGTGCCTGTGGCAATCGCTTTGTCTTGGTCCTCAGGCCCAGAAACCTCCTGTATACCTGTGCAGGCAAGGGCTGTTGACAAGGCACAGAGGCCATCCCTGCCCAGGGAGGGGCAGCCCCTTTGCGTCCTATGGGATCTTGTCTATGGACTCCGGGACAGTCCCTTGGTACTTTCACACTGTTCTAAAGGGAAGGGAGGCACAGGGCACTGCAGACTAGGCCCAGATCAGAAGCTCTTTTCTGAATAGGCAGAACAGGTGTCAGTCAATATGGGCATAACAATATCTTTACAATGCATATGCGGTAATGTTCACCCCAACCCAACTTTTCCTTCAGTCAGAGCTGTTCAAATAAATGTCCCCAAATTCCAGAATCAGCCACAAACTCCCAAAGACTCTTGAGCCAAAACTTACACAGTACACTCTCCCATTCTCTTTGCCTTGCCTTGGCATTCTGAAATAAATGTCATAGCGATAAGAAATCTGCAGATAAGTTCTCAGGCCAACCAGAGTAGAAAGGAAGTGCTTCCTTACGGCTATTAATGAAACGTGGAACTTAGCAGCTGCAAACCACGGCCTTACACTGCTGTCTAAGAAGCTGCACTCTCAGGATATCCCAATGCTCCCTGGAACAGCGGAGCACACTTACTGCATTCTGGTGGCACTTTCCAACTCCAGAGCCATTTCAGAAGGAGGCAAAAGCCAAAGTCATCCTACATCACTCAGAAGGGTCTAGACTAAGGAGATGAAACCCCAGACACAAAAATGATGCATGTTCCTTGAAACGGTGACAGATTGCAAACAGCACACTTCCTAACATGAGGGACCGAGGCTCGTGGTACCCGTTTTGCTTGATGGGATATAAATGGCCATGTAGGATGTGGCAATGAGAAGAAGGCAGAAACACCGCAGTGCTACAAAAAAGGGGGAAAATTGGAGACAACATGGCTACTATTACTTAACAGGTAAAGTTATGAATGAACATGAATAAACAGAGGGAAACATGCGAAGATAAAAATATGCTCAGATATGATTAAGATGGTTCCTTTTAAGTCATCATGTAGCACTCCTGTGTGTCATGATGTCAGTAAATAGAAGAGGGAGGTGAGTGTAAAACTGTATTTGCCACAGGACAGACACTTAAGACCCCAGAAGGTGACTACCAGAGTGTATATTCCTCTCTGGGAAAGTATCTTTTCTCATCCAAGTTCTCAGAAAGCAAATGGCTCTTGGTTCTTGAGAGCTATGGAAGAAGGGGTAGGAGCAGGGTGTATGTCTTGGCTTGGCCAACCCCAGCTGGACCCCAAATTCCCCCATCCACACAGGGATGAGAGTACCCCACAGCAGGGCTCTCTGGAGGTCTGGCGCCTCTGCACCTCCATCATTCCAGCTACCGCCTCACCTGGGGCTCCTGCCACCTCACGTGTCCCAGCAGGCCCCCACCCTGTCAGGGTACCTACCAGCCTCGTTTTGATTGGAGGGTACATGCAAACTCCAGTGGTCTCTTCCTTCATGGGGAGAGAGAGTGGAGGAGAGCCGCGAGAGTGGGCACAGAGAGGGCTGCTGGCGGGCTCTGCCTGCTCACAGGAGAGGAGGAGAGACAGGGAGGAAGAGGCGGTGAGACGGGAGGAGAGAGAGGAGAGAAGGGTGGGAAAGGAGAGAAAGACAGCACAGTGCAAGACAGATCCGGCAACTCAGACTCCTCTCCAGCCAGCCTCCCCATGGCTGCTCTCTAGACGCCCTTAGCCTCTGGAGAGCTCACCGCCGGTCCCGCCCACTGCCCGCCTCTCTGCCTCTCTTCTCTCTGGCCTTCTCCTCTCTTCTCCAATCCATGAGCAGAAGGACAAACCAAACCCCTTCCCAGGGATGGCAGAGCCAAACTATCTCCTTGTGCCGGGAGCACAGGACTGGGAGCAGCCCCTCCCCCCACCCCCACCCCCAGCATCGCCAGGGTTCCGAAGCATTGCCCAGGCCGAGTCACGAGCAGCGCCATGAGTTAGCAATGGCAGGCATGGGAGCAATATGCGGGGCTGGCCACACACTTGAGAGCATTTGTCTGCTACACCCGGTGCTGGCCCACCCTCAGCCAAGGAAGGGTACTGCCTAAGGTGTGCAGGGGAGTGAGTGTCCAGCAGAGGATGGCAAGAGAGAGCTGCACCCCTAAGAAGCACAGAGTTCAGGATCTCATACTCCTGGCTCTCTGCCATCTGGGTTCAGAACTCAGACAAAGCCTCCCACTTTCTTCATCCGTGAGTCCAGGTTTAAGGCATCTCCTTACTGGAAGTGGGAACGTCCTGCTGCTCAACTGGAAGACATACCAAGCATTGTGGAGAAAGTGCCACACTTTTGAGATGCCAGCTCCACACACACACACACATACACACCCCCGTAGGGGAGGTCTCTGAGGAGTGCCATGTGCCCAGCAAAGGTACAAAGCTTGTTTGAGTGAGGATGAGGATGGCAAACAGAAGATGTTCAGTGTCAGGAAGATAGGACTGCTGAAGGGTTAGTGTGGGCTTCAGGGAGGGACCACTTGCTCCAGAGAACAAATACATGCATCGTTTAGCTCAGGAAACTTGGCAGCATCCCACAGTGAGGATTAAAATACAGCCTCTGGGTAGCTTTCACTAAAAAGAATGATCAAGGAAATTACAGGCCGCCTTCCTTCTCTAAATCTGTCCGATTCTGTCCTCTGACAACCGCAGAGCTGAGAAGCTGCCAGGGGCTTTCACAGCCATAACCTCGTCAACAGACCTGCTTCCCATTCACATCTGGGAGATGCAGAGACTGATTCGGTCAAAGTCGGAATCCCAGGTTCCACCCCTTCTTTGTTGATTGTTTCTAAGGCCTTTTTTCAGAGCTAAGTGAATCCAAATTAGTCACCTGCAGTTAAAGTTTACCAGCCTACTTAAAATCCTCCTCCTGTTCTCTTGGGTCCTCAGGAGAGATCCTGCCTGCTTAAGAAATTACAAGATGATGCTTGCAGGAGCCTGGCTGGCGTCAAGACCCCAGGGTGTCCATGCTCCAATTAGAACCAGCCACACCAGGGACTCTCCACGTACACCTCCACACATAAACCCCTGGGCCCCTACTCCTGCCGATAGCAACAGGAACTTAACATACGTTTAGTGAAGGAAATAAAATCTGCCACAAATAACCAAAAAACATCCTATCACCTAAAGGTCAGAATTTGGACTGATAATTAGGAATGATTTAAGACTTTGTCCAGTGCTGGACTTTTATGGTAATTGCTCCAATACTTTTGACCTTCCTAAATAGTTACCTGAGTAGATGTAAATGAATGAACGTTCCTGATCTAGTAAACCCACAACCTTGACTCTTAGTCAATGCGCAGGAAACAAAGTATCAACAACACGTCTAACAGGATGCTTAGGATGCCAATTTGCTTTTCTCCTGGCTCTTCCCTTCTTGTTTGGGACATTTCTGCATTTATTACACCACTTTTTTTTTTGTATAGATAATTAGCTTTTGAATTTTAAAATGTGACCCTTTGGGAGAATGAAACGATTCTTGGCATCAATAAATAATAATGTTGTTGTTGTTGGGGGGGGATTCTTTTTCATAGGCTGAGGAAAGGACATTGCTGGTCTGAGTAGAGAAGAGAAAGTCGTTCCGACAGAGACGGGAAGACAAGCGAGAATACTGAGTAATGAGGCCACAGTGAGCTAGGCCCTCTCTTAGGGCCTAAGCTGGGAACAGGAATTAAGAGCAAGGAAGAACACAGTCCCTGGTCAGGTAGAGCGAGGAGGCAGTGAATCCTAGGACAGAATGCCCCCAGGACAGAATGATGGCCAGGAAGCGAAAACAGTGATCCCCCAGAAGCCCCACTAGAGATGCAGAGAGTATCTCAGATGTATCTATGAATGATAACACAGTGCACTGACCAGACTTTTCTACACCCCTCCTGAACCCTGGGGGACAACGAAGAAGCCATGGGGAAATAGAGGACACCTAGACTTCAGATTTAGTGTCAACCCACCTGGAAGAATGGAGTTCAAAACAAATACTAAGTGGTTGACCCAACTGGAAACCCAGTCCTGACGCCCTACCAGGGCCTGATCCCAGGTCTCATGTGGCCTTCCTCAGTCCAGACCCATGTCTCCCAGTCATGTACACACTTCACTACTACTGTCTCAGGACAAACTGGTTCTCTTTGTAGCCTTGTGGCTGAGTAGTTTAGAAGACACAGAGCTCAGGGAGGGGTGAGCTCCACAGGGTGGGGGGGAGTCAAGAACAGAGAGAGACAGATGTTTATGTCTGTTACCAGCAGGAGGGAGCCTGACTGGCTGACCCAATACGAGGCAGGGCTCTGTGTGCCTAGCGTCCCCTTTTGACTCTTCTTATTCCTTTTCTTGTCTTTTCTTTTCTTTTCTTTTCTTTTCTTCTTTCTTCCTTCCTTCCTTCCTTCCTTCTTTCCCTTCCTTCCTTCCTTCCTTCCT